TAACCGGACTTCCGTGTGGCTATCTGAAGATTTCGAATACTCCAAGTACGCCCGAAATCCTTCAGGAGGAGATGAAAATTTTCTATTTGATTTCTGAACACTTGAAGCAGGAGAGGAGAGGAAGTAGTTGATGAATTTTTTTTGCTGAAATAATATAGATTTTGTTTCCTTTGGAGATTGGAATCTCCAAATTGATTCTGGATACGTAAAGTATAAACACTCTTAGCTTGAAACCGAAGAACCTCCAAATCTGTTTCTTTCAACTTTCAAGTATTGATTACTAATCTTCTGGTCAAGAAAAAAGTATTGATTAATAATCAATATGATATATTTAATATTGTGAATTAAATTATATTATTTTAATATGATCGATCTGATCCCAGTCCGACTAGTAACCCTTGATCTACTGCCTTAACCAATTTAATTCCTGATCCGGTTTTTTATTCCTTGATTAAAACTAAAATCTTAATAAGTTTGGCATGAAAAAATACTAGTTTTGCCATTTTCTTTGTATTACTTCCAGTTCTAATTATAAAAACTTATTAGTAGTCTATAAATGAGGTCTTATAAATAAGACTGGAGGTAGAATTTTCTTTTTAATTTCATTTGAGAAGGGGTTGGAAATAGCACATGTTTAAGGTAGGGTGTGAAAGTATTTTCCAAACTAAACTACATTATGATGCATTATAAGTTTTTATAGGAGATAGATATGTTATTTATGATAGACACATGACTAGTTTTTTGGAGTCTTTTTAGAACAGGACAAAAAAAAGGTTAGGATAAATAACTATAAGAAGGGACAACATAGTGACCGGGATGGGACGAGACACGGGACGAGGTCATCCCATCCGGGATGTTTACTTTTTTTTAATTCACTTATTAAATTATTAATATTAGTATTTGTTCTTTGTTCTAGTGATTTTTTTTTATTGTCAAAAGCATGATTTCTTTGTTATAATTTGGGCTTTTGCATAATAATTTTTTTTAATGTTTTTATCTTTCAAAACCTCAATTAAAATAAAAATGTAGCATAAAAAAATCCAAAATTTTGGCTCAAACTGCAGTTTTTTTTTTTGGGGATTGGAGGGTGGTTTGTTCCCCAAAAAATTGTAATTTGGGTCAAAATTTTGGTTTTACTCGTTGTATTCCCATCAGGATCAAGATAGCCATAGGACAGAGTATTGGAGTTTTACTGTGTCAAAAGAAGTCCCATATTACTTAAGATTGAGAAAATCTTAGTATTTATTAAGATGTGAGTTTGAGCCAATAAAATGGCCAAGAAGAGGAGTCTTTAGAACTGACCATTGGAAATGACTGTAAGTTTTATTCTTTCGTAAACCATATTAAATGGCGTTAAAATGTTTTAATTCACATTAATTAATTGTTTTAAAACCACCTTTTTAATTGTTATTAAAATCATCTTTTTATAACAGCCCAATGGTCACACATTATCTGCCTATAAAAGGCAATGCGTGATGCATGATTAAAGGGTGTTGAGTTCTATCCCCAAGACCTCCTCCTCTCTCACTTCTCCTGAGTTTTAAATTTCTGTTATTCTGTCACTTTACTCTACATAGGAATGGTCTGTTTAATCCTAAGAAGTGCCGCCTTTTATTCTAACCTGTGTGGCAAAATAACTCTTAAGGACAATGTCTTTAGATACGATTCGAACCATATTTTTATTATTTTTGCAAGTGTTGCCAACACAGGATCCATCTTGGTCCCATAAACACCCTAATTAGTTCACAATATCCTATATTAGTATTATTATTTTTTTATAATCATCAGACTTAATATAAGGTGCTAAACATATAATAAAATTTATCTTATTTGATATATCATATTATATTACATTTGATCCGTATACCTGCATCATAATTTTGATATTCTAGTTAAACGTTTTAAAATGATTGGTTAATATAATTTTTAATCTCACAAGTTTTCACAAATTTTGATTTTAGCCCATCGAGCCCTAAATCATAGGTTTTAGTCTTTTAAGAGATAAAATCTAAATTTTTATTGAATAATATAGAGTCATGTTTTAAATAAAATAAATTTGAGAGGTCAAAAGCTATGGTTTGAAACTTAATGGGCTAAAATTAAAATAAAGACAAATTTAAGGGACTAATAATTGTATTAAGCTCAAAATGATTATATAAATTAAAAAAAGAGTTTGCTTTTAAAAATAACTCATTTCTTGTAAGGATCATCCAATTCCTGTTATTCTTAGCATCGTATCACTCATTGGAGTAAAAATTAATTAACATATATTACCTTCGATGTTTAGTATAAGAGTTTATTTGATTTTTATTTTGATCCTAAATATAAGACACCAATCTACTTTATCTCTCATATTTATCCCTTTTTTTAATATAGTCCTTATAATAACGGTATTTCTAGCCAATACACTTGATTATCAAGGATATTTTAGGAAAGACAACACCTATTTATTACAAACAACTAAGTTAACTAATTTCTTTAATTTACTCATACTACCTCCAGTTTTTAATATAAAAGCTAGTTGACTGCTTTGCGTAAATTAAGGTAATTAGTTAAATTAATTATTTGTAATAAATATGTGTTTTTTTTAAATACCCTTACTAATCAAGTGTCATTTGATGAAACATTTAACGTATGCAACTATTGTAAGAATTATTTTAAAAAAAATAGATAAATATGAAAAACAAAGTAAATTATGATATTATATTTAAAACTAAATTAAAAGTCAAACTAGTTTTTATATTAAGAATCAATGTAGTATCTTTTGGCAAAATCACAATATGCTGATAATTTTTTACCAAGAACTATATATTACCAATGGAAATATTAAAATGTGTGTATATATATTTTTTGCCAATAATATATTATAATATTTTAATTAAAAAATAGGATGATTAGAACATATATATATACACACACATATATAGATATATATATATATATATGTATATGTGTGCTTGTATTTGTTCATATATTTTAAATTTTAAGTCTTGATTAAATATCAACCAAACACACACAAAAAAAAAACAAAGAAAGAAAAAGGGTACCCACTGAAATTTTATATTTATTGACGAGTGATTAAATGGACTATCCTTTTTGCTCAAAAAAAAAAAAAAAGGACTATCCTGGGCGAAATCCGAAAAACATCCTAGGAGAAATTCCCAAATATCATCTGATCCGAATATGAAGGCGATTTTTCCCAGATCGCTTCGGCTTCATACTCCATTGAGGCTTCGATTTGATTCATTGGACAAAGCTTTGTACGTTTTCCTTTCGGTGAACTGAAGAAGCATTGAAGCATTGCAGATGCTCCTCGTTCAATCTGATCCCAAATATGCTTTCTTCAGCTGCTGCAAGGTACTCCTCCTCCTTCACCAAATTTCCTCTCTTTGCTACTTGTACCTTCTTTCTCTCTTTCCCTTGTTCCCTCACTCTCAAATGTTATCTTCATTCCCACTCCCCAAACCCCAACAACATCCGCGACGCCGTTGATACAGTCACTCACTTCCTCCACATGCGGCCCCCTCCCTCTAGAAAACATATCAATAGGATTTTAGGGTCTATAGTGAAGATGAGACATTATCCCCTGGTTATCTCACTTCTTGCACAAGCCGAGTTGAAGGGCTACGTGCCAGATTTATGTAACCTGAGCATCTTGATCAATTGCCACTGCCACGTCGGTCAGATGGATCTTGCTTTCTCTCTGTTGGGGAAAATTTTCAAGATGGGCTATCAACCAAACGCTGTAGTTTTGACCACACTAATAAAAGGACTCTGTTTAAATCAAAATGTCGGCAAAGCTCTAGATTTCTACGATGACATAATGGCAAAAGGATTGAAGTTAAATGAAGTTAGTTATGGAACATTAGTAAATGGGCTATGTAAAATGGGGAAAACGACATCTGCTCTTAAATTGCTTAAAGTAATGGGGAGGCACCTTGTTAAGCCCAATATAGTTATATACAGCACAATCATTGATGCGCTTTGTAAAGAAGGACTAGTTAATGATGCACACAATCTCTATTTTGAAATGATTGACCACGGGATATCTCCAAATGTTGTTACTTATAGTAGTCTAATCCATGGCTTCTGTAGCATGGATCAATGGCATCAAGCAAATCAATTACTCAATGAAATGATATCGAAAGAAATACAACCAAATGTTTATACCTTTAACGTCCTAGTTGATGCATTATGTAAAGATGGAAGGATTGTACAAGCTCAAGCTGTATTTGCTAGGATGGTGAAGAGTGATCAAAGACCTAATGTTGTTACGTATAATGCTGTGATGGATGGACATTGTTTGACCAATAATATCATTGAGGCTAAGGAAGTTTTTAACAAGATGATTGAAAATGGTTTGGCACCTGACATTGTTAGTTATAGCATTTTGATCAACGCATGCTTTAAGATGAAAATGGTGGATCAAGCGATGGATCTTTTTAAGGAATTGCATTCCAGAAATTTGGTTCTTGATGTTTTAACTTATAATTGCGTTATTGATGGGTTGCTCAAATCACAAAGAATCTCATACGCGCAAGATATTATTTATGAGATGCACGAGAGGGGTCTTCACCCTGATTTAATCACTTATACCATCTTGTTAGATGCATTTTGCAAAATGGGACATCTTGACAAGGCAATTGCATTATTTAGGCAAATTGTCAATCAAGGATTTCGGCCTGATGTGAAGACCTATACTATACTTATTGATGGTTTGTGCAAAGGTGGTAGATTAAATAATGCATGGGACACTTTTCAGTATCTTTTGGCTGAAGGTTACCAGCTAGATGTGCGTATCTATACTGCTATGATTCATGGACTTTGCAAAGAGGGTTTTCTTGATGAAGCCGTGGCCTTGCTTGATAGAATGGAAGAGAACAATTGCCTCCCTAATTCCATAACTCTCAACATTGTTATTCCATATCTTCTTGAAAACAATGAGAATGACAAGGCAGTTAAAGTTCTCAGTAGAATGATTGATGGAGGCGTGCTGAAGAAATAAAACAAGGTGAGATCTACTGCACCTCAAATTGATTTGCCACAAATATTCATGTTAACTACCATGAGCGGTTGGCAAAAGCTTGTATTGTGAATTTACACAGTTAATTGACTTGTTTGGCAAGAATATGGTTTGATGGGTAATTGTCTTTTTATGTACCGTTAATATGTGGTCAAGTATCATATGTTTCCACTGGCGATGTACTTTTTCTTTCTATGGGAACAAGAGAAGGTCCGGCTTGCAATACCCCTGGTGCTGTCATTTCCTTTCTATTTTCTTCCTAATTTTTGTTAAAAAATGGAGTGGAAATTGCATATCTTTCTTTGAAGAAACAAGATATGCTGGGGAAGTATTATGAAAGTTAAATGCCCAAATATAAATTTTTTTTGTGGTGAAGCGATCATAGATTTTAGTGTCTTGTTGATGAATATCCTCGTCTTATATTTATTCTTTATCAGGAATAGCTCAGGTTTCTTCTTTATTGATGATACTGGAAGTTAGAATTTTACAAGAGGATGGGAAGTAATTTTCAACCATTCCTGATCGCTGCAATTGATGTTTATAAAAGAAATATGAAATATACATAGCAGGATACTTAGCAATCCTAGGTTTCTCTTAATTGCGGTCTCACTAAGGCTAAAGCACATAGAAATAGTAGTATAGACTCATGAAAATGTTTGTTTCTATGTTAATGGCAGTGTTTTGCTCCATCTTCTTTGGTCGCTTACTGTTATAGTTTTTAGATTTACTAGGAAATTGTCGGCACTAAGTTTGGGGGCGTCTTTTGTGGCTTTATCTTGCGGTGATATCAGCATTTTGTTTTTTGAAATTTTTTTAATTCATAGCTGTATTAATCGGAAGGAATGGCGGAGTTTGTCGTCATAACTTCGTTTTATGATTTGTGTTCCTCCGATAAGGATTTTATGTTGTGATTCGATAAGCATTTCCTTTGCTAGTTTGCTGATTTTCTTCAATAAGTGGTTGTGCTTCATTCAACCCTGCATTATGTTAATGGTACTTGATTGATTGCTTTTCGGTGAGTGGCTCAAGGCCTAGTGATACACGATTATGACGAGGTAACAGACATTTTTAATTTTGAATTTTACCTTTCCGAATTTGTTGAACATATATTCATGATTTTATATATTTATATCTCCATCCTAAAATTTTAAGGTTAGTTTGTCACGCAGGTTTCTGACAAAAAAAAAACAGGTTAGTTTGTCACATTGTGAAGAATAAAAGACCTGATGAAATTTTTATACTATGAAGATGTGAAATATTTGATATGACATTGTACAAAATAACTTGTGAGCAGAAACCTGTTTGAGGAGGTTATATCTATATTATTTTAGGAAAGGTACTTATGTAGATCTTATTTTTATCACAAAGAAGGGGGGCTGTATTTGGGATAAATGTCTATTTTTGGGCCTGTGATAGGGATGACTCACATTGAGTCGGAGCAATATGTGTCTGCTGGTCAGTTTGGCAATTTAATCCCGAGTGGACAATGTTGGTATTTTACTATTTCAGCTACAAAGTCATTTCCGGGATTTTTATTTTACATTTCTAAATTTGGAATTTAAAAATGCTTGTTCACAACCACATTTTTTATATTAATTTTTCATGAGTTTATATATTTGATGCACGTATTTGCTTCCTAAAATTTTAAGATTAGTTTGTAACATGACAAAGAGTAACACTTGGTAAAATTATTATGCTACCTTTGACCCTTAGTGTAAAAACTAAAAGACTAATTTGCGTCAATTAAGAAAATTAGTTGAGTTAGTTATTTGTAATAAATGGGTATTTTTTATAAAATATCATTGCTAATCAAGTGTATTGGCTAGAACTACTATTATTACAAGGACTATCTTGAAAAAATAAATAAATATGGGGAGAGATAAAAGTGAATTGGGGTCTTATATCAATCAATCAATCATTGTATTCTTGAAAACTTGTAATACCGTATTTGTTTGAAAATGGATCGAGTATGAAATTATAGAATCCAAATATATTCAATTAATGAGATTTAAATAATATCTTGATTGAAATTTGAATATATTTAATTAAATAGGAAACATTATAAATAAATGCAATTATAAATAAATGCATTCATGGCCTCTTCCCACCTTAGCGTCTCAAAATCCCTCTCAAATCTCAGCGCCCCTGATGCAGGCAACAAGTCTTTAGGATTTTGTAGACCCATCACTATATCTCTGAGATTTTTTTGCTTCTTCTCTGGCAAAGAGAAAGAGAGCGCCACATGGCTTCCTAGAATTCAGCTCCACTTGAACTCACTTGAGAATTCTTGGGTTGGTTCGCTTTTTCCGTTGGGCAAGTTTTGTTATAATTGTTGCAGAAAAAGGTTGTTAATTTTCATCCTGTTTTTGGGTGGAAGGGCAACTTGGGTAGGTAATAAATTTATGCTTTGCTTGGATGGGAAGAAAAGTTGGAAGAAAAGAAAATGGAAGGAGAGAAAATAGAGATAAGAAAAAACTAGAGGAAAAATGTTATCATCCCTATTGCTTGGATAGATGAGAGAAAATAGAAAAGAAAGAAAATTAATAAATATCCAAATGACTAAAATGTCCTTATCAAATATATCACATTTAAAACTAAATTAAATTAAATATTGTGATAGAAAGATTATACTAACATTGGCGTCATGAAATAATTAAAATCAAGTTATTTGATTGATATATATTTTCATATTATTACATTTTAAAGCCAAATTATTTAATAAAAATATTGTTTTAAGATAAAAGAAATAAAAAATGAATAAATTTTTAAATATAATAAAAGAAAATAAATATGAAAAGTATGAGATAGTAGGGGTAGTTATGAAAATCTTGTTTTCCTTCCCAAATCTCTCCATATATGAAGAGAAAATTTGGAGAGAAAATGAGGTATGGGACCCACCTTATTTTTTCCCCCACTTTTCCTTCCTCCCACATTTTCTCTCCTACCCAAGCAAAAGAAAAGTTGTTTCCCCTCCTGTTTTCTTCTCTTATTTTCTTTCCTCCCTAATTTTTCCTCAATCCAAGCAGGGGGTTAAGGAGCTCATAATATTGCCACACTGTGAGGCAATGGAAAAAGGCTCCACCATGCAATAGAAGAAAAAAGGACTTCTTAGATAGTCACGGATCCAAACAAAAAAAGATAGTCAGGAGTTGTTTTCTGTGATAACATAATTTCAAACACACCTGCATATTATAGCCTTTTAGCCTCAACCTTGTGCTATCCCATCTGCATTAAATTCATTACCCAATCCACTGTTCATGCCATCAAAAATCCTACACGAACTCATTAGCTTCAGCCTATAAGTATTAGTCATTTCATTACCCACTTCACTGTTCAATATTTCTGATTAAATTACTTTTTGTTCTTTCAAGCTGTCAATGATTTTTTCCGCGAATTTGAACTCGAGAGACTTGCGAAAAAGAGCATATAGTTCAGTGATTTGTTGTCAAATTATAAAGCTGAAGTTTTGTAGTTCAGTACTAACGCTGAGATTCAATGAAATAATTACGGGGTATACAGCGTGACACCTTCTAGGTAGGACTATTTTGGGCTCATTTTTTGGACCCACTTACAGCAACAGTAAACTTAGGAAAGATAGAGTTGGGTTGATGTAGAAAGTGAATCAATAGTAATTAGGAAAAATTGGAGATAAATTTCTCATTACAAGTTTAATTCGCAAATAGTCTCTAACATGATTGATTGCATAAAGAAAAATTAGTTACATGCAAAGGAATGTAAGTTACAAAATATTATTTGGATATAAAGAATTAATTTGCACATAGAGAAGATGATTTGTACAAGACATATTTTACTTTGCTTTTTATATTTATCGTTGTTTTTCTAAACTATTCTTATTAATTGCACATATTAAGAAAGTTTGCATTAGGAGGTCGTTTTAATGCAAATGATTTAAGAGGGTAACTTAAGAAAACAAAAACATATTTATTATAAATAACTATTTTTTCAGTATCTATAAATTAGTTATCAAACTTTTATAGATAGTATTATATTTGGCAAGTAATAAACAAATAATTCCCACAAATTTCAAATACATGTAATTTTTTTTTGGTGAAAAAAATGTTGGCATGGCTTTCAACTGAATGTTTACCTTTCTTGTTTATGGTGGGAAGTTATTGTTTTATTTCCATGCCGATTCATTGTTTCCTTTAGACTGCAGCTAAAGAATGTTTGGCGTTAAAAACTACTTGTTTTGCCATTTCCTATGTATTTTTCTTTTTAATTTCAGTGGAAAAGAGGTTGGAAATGGCATGTGTTTAAGGTAGGGTGTGAAAATATTTTAAAAGCTAACCTACATTATGTTACATAATAAGTTTTTATAATGAGTTAATATAATTTTTAGTCTTTTAAGTTTGTCTTTATTTTGATTTTGGTCTCTCAAGTTTGTCTTTATTTAAAACATTGGTCCCTATAATTCCCATAATTCCCTATAATTCGATAAAAATTTAGACCATTTTGTTTCTTGAGTGATTAAAACCTACGTTTTAAAATTTGAGAAACCAAAATTAAAATGAAAGCAAATTTAAGAAATTAAAGATTATATTAACCTTTTTACAAAGAAAGATTATTTATGACAAACATGTGATTAGTTCACAATATCTCATATTAGTATTATTATCTTTTATAATCATCAGAGTTAATGCAACGTGCTAAACATATAATAAAAGTTAACTCATTTGATATATCATGTTATATTACATTTGATCCATATGCGTACATTATAAGTTTTAACATTCTAATTAAACATTTTAAAATGATTATATAAATCAGAAAAATACTTGGCCATAAAAATAACTAAAAAAGTTAGCGTAATCATCTCATATAAAGATCGTGCAATTCCTTTTATTCTCAGTATCACTCAATGAAATAAAAATTAATAAATATATAATTTTTAGCAAAATCACAATAACTTGATAAATTTTTACCAAGAACCATATATTACTAATGAAAATATTAAAATGTAT